TCGGGGCAGGGGCGGAGGGTGGTACATCGTCCCTCCCGAGTGTAGGAGGAGCGGAGCCCCGGCACAATCTCGGCGGAGTCTCGGCTAGATCTCCACCGCTGCCGGCAGTGCCCTTCCGAGTAAAGGTGCGAGAGGGCGAGCGAGGGGAGGAAGGCGCGCACGTAGCCCGACGGCGCGGGCAGCTGCAGCTGGAAGGTGGACGAGGCGGTGCAGTTTGGGTTGCCCTCCTCCGGCACAAACGTCTCGTGGAAGAGGCCCGGGGGGAAGACAATCGCCTGGTGCAGCGGGGCAAGACGCGTCGTCCAACTCTGCGTGCGCGTGTGCGTGGGACGCGGCGGGCGAGTCGCGGCGTCGCCTCCCCCTCCTCCACCGTCCCCTCGAAGGCGGGCCTCCACTTGCCGCTGCCATAGATGCGCCCGTCGCGGTAGTCGACGAGGTCGGCGCTCGACGCGATCGGCGGCGCCGGCATCAGCCGCCAACGCTTCCGGCCGGACAGCTGCAGCGAGACCGCGGCGGTGCAGTAGGTGTCGGCGTGAGCAAAGACGGCGCCTCGCCGGCGCGAGAACCAGAGCTCTTGTGACTCGTTGGCCTCGCGCCGGTTCACGTAGCCGCGCACAAAGTACGGCGGCCGCCACTCGCGCTGCACCTACGGGACAACTCCTGGACGTGTCCTTGGCTGCCTGCACGGCGGTGGCGCCACTCGCGGGCGACCGAGGCGCGAATGTGTGGCGGAGCCTCGACGCCGCCGTCCTTGACGTGCCACACGTACGGCGCGTTCACCTGGTGGTAGAGGAATAGGAAGCGTTGCACAGCGGCGACCTCACTCAGCTCCATGTCTCTGCACTCGCCTTGCCGCCCTCCGCCATGTGCTCCCCGTGCGCCAAACGCCAGCGGTCTCGGCTGCGCCACGCGTCGTGAGCGAGCGGCACGTACTTGACGCCTTCGCCGCGAGTGTACTCCATCCGCATCCGACCCTCAGGCCAGCGCTCGGAGTAGTACTCGCACGGCCGCGACAGCCACTCGCTGCCGCCGCCGGCGTCCGCCACGATGAAGGGCACGCCAGCACGCAGCCGCGCGTCAAACTCGGACGCGCTGTCGGGGCGTGGGCGGCGGGCGGACAAGCGTCATCTCGGCCGATCTCGGGCGGACGGTCTCGGGGAGTCGTGACCTGACGGCAGAAAGCCGCTCGAGGGCGATTGGTTTCTCCCCAGTGAGGCCGTAGTAGGAGGAGGAGGTGGGCTCCGCAAGTGGTGGCAAGCCGGCCGCGGCAGAACTGTGAGGTCTCGTCGCGCTCTTTCTCGGATCCACTGCCCTGGCTCCTGGCCCGACTTCGGGCACCATTACGCGCGAACCGAGTCGCTCTAAAAAACCCCGCAATTGCCACTGGGCCGCGGACTGGCAGGCCTTCCTTATTGTTGTTCAGCTGGCGTTAGCTTACAGTTGTTGGGAGCCCCACTGTTGTATCCTGTTGTTGCTGGTGTTTCCTGTTGTTAACACTAGCAACGCAGCTCTATCTAGTTCACTCTAAATCACGACTCTCACAGTGATTTGGCTCGACAGCTTACTAGATCTAGAACGCTGTTTGAGGGCTGACAAGCTGCCGAGCCCAACAAATCACTGTGAGCACTTGGAGCACTTGGAGTGCAGTCATTAGCCTCACATCCAGGGCCGGGGAGCTAAGAAGCGCACCCAGCGGGCCGTGTGTGAGAGTCGTGATTTCTCTTGATTCACTGAGCTGAGCTCGACCCCCCGGCACCCCCGCAGGCCCTGCGCAGGCCCCCCAAGGAAACAGCCCGGTTGCAAGTCCGGTTGCCAAAACAGTCACTCGTCAGGCAGCTCTAGCCTCTACGTAGAGCCTCTAGTACTAGTTCAGCCATCGCATCACCCGCGCATGCCGGCGCGCCGCAACCGAGTCAAAAACAACAAACTTGAGCGGCCTCGCTACGGTCCCGAGCCTCGCAACAGGTAAAGCCGTACGCTGCAATGAGAGCCCATGAGAGAGATACGGCTCTATGCACTTTCCGTCTGTACTTCTTTCATGCGCATGCACACATGCACATGCCCGGCCACACCCTGATAGTGTGTAGAAAAGGAGCTATCCTAGGGTTGCCCTCATGGTCTATGTACTATGACCCGCCCCCCTCCTCCAGCCAGCAGCCGTGGAAGCCGGCGGGCAGTGGCACCGGCGACCTGCACTGGGCGAGCAGTCGCATGTCCTGCGCGGCGAGCACGTACAAG